CATTGCTACTCACTTTGATCCTTGGAATTCTTCCTTCCTCTCCTGCTTTCTTTGTTAGGGTTGATAGCCCTTCTGCACATAGTAGGAAGAGGTAGGGGGAAATAGGGTCCCCCTGTCTGAGTCCCCTTGTTGGCTTGAAAATCTGAGTCTGGTGTCCATTGATCAAGGATGCATAACTCACACTAGTAACACAATTCATCACCATTCGTACCCAATCTCCATGAAATCCCAATTACAGCATTATCCCTTCAAGAAACTTCCATTCTACTCGATCATAAGCTTTTGCTATGTCGAGTTTTGCTGCTACAAAACATTTCTTCCCAGTCTTTCTGTTTTTCATAGCATGGAAGCATTCAAAACCAATCATTATGTTGTCTGTAATGTTTCTCCCTGGCACAAATGCACTTTGAGAATCAGTGATGATCTCATCAAGCACTGGTTAAAGTCGATTGGCCAGAACCTTCGACAGGATCTTGTAGAGCACTCAGCATAGTACAATTGGTCGAAACTCTTTGGCAGTGACTGGTTTCTTTGTCTTAGGAATCATTTCTAATAGAGTATGGTTTAGGGAGGGAGGAACCTCACCTGTCAGTAGGATTCTTTGTAACTCTAAGCAGACAGCATCTCCAACAGTTGTCCAATTCTTCTGAAAGAAGAGGGCTGGCATTCCATCAGAGCCAGGAGCTTTGGTGGGTGCCATTTTAAATAAAGCCTCATAGATATCCTCTCTAGAGAAAGGTTTCAGTAATTCCTGGGTCATTTGGTCTGTAACTTTGGGTTCCACCACATCGAGGACCTCATAGATACTAGGAGTTGGTTCTGCTGTGAAAAGTTTCTGAAAATGGTTGGTGAAACAGCCCATAACTTCCTCCTGTCCCCTGAAGATAGTTCCATCTTCTCCCTGGAGTTCTTTAATTGTATTTCTACGCTTCCTGTTAGAGGCCTTCTGATGAAAAAAACCAGTGTTTTTATCCCCCTCCTTCAGCCAATCTGATCGTGATCTCTGTTTCCACCTGATTTCTTCCAAATCCAATACTTCATTTAGTTCTCTCTCCAGTGCTCTACGTTGGATGAGTACAGCTTTGGTTTTTTTCATTTTTGAGATTTTTGCCAAAGCTCTCTCAATCTTCTTTCTCCTGACCTTTAGGTTCCCAAAGGTTCTTCTTCCCCACTCCAACAGGACTTTCTCGCAATTTTTGATTCTTTCTTCTAGTGGCAGGTCTGGATCCCTCTGCCATTCTGCCTCTATGATAGAGGCACAGTCTTCATGCTTCTGCCAAAAGGCTTCAAACTTGAAGTGCCACCCCCATTTCACTTGTTCCTCCTATAAATTCAGCTCAATTTTGATAGGTATGTGATCTGACACCCATCTATCCAGATGATAGACTCTAGCTTCTGGGAACTCCGTCCTCCATTCTGAATTAGCAATAGCTCGATCAAGTCTTTGCTCAAGAAAATCTTCATCAATTTTTCCATTGTCCCAAGTGAACATGTTCCCATGATATCCTAAATCCTCCAGGTGACATTCATCTAGTGTTGCTTGGAAATCTTCCATATTCTGGATATCAGGTGTATTTCTGCCATTCTTCTCTTCATAGCTTAACACTTGATTGAAGTCTCCACATAATATCCATGGTAGATCAGATTGACCATGAAGCCGTTTTATCATGTCCCAAGTTTGAGGCTTGTTTTCCTGTTCTGGCCAACCATAAATCCCTGTCAGCCTCCATTTCTTTCCCTCTGTTCCCTCAGTTATCCAAATATCAATGTGATTCTGGGTTGCTGCCTTGACTTCAACTTGCAGCTCCTCTTTCCACATCATTATCAATCCACCTGCTCTGTTTCTCGATCCCACCCCTTGTCCTTTTGTCCAGCCCAATTTCTGAATCGTTGCCTCCCATTCATGTTCTTTTCTCTTTGTTTCCATGAGAAACACAATGTTGGGGTCCTGCTCCTTCAGTAGCTCAGCTACTCTGGCAACTGTCGTGGTTTTCCCCAGCCCACGACAGTTGTAGCTGATGATATTCATTGGGCTGGGCGGCCCTGCTCTTTTGCAGGGTCCGCCATTCCGCCATCCATGATCATTGGTTGTCCCACAGTGTTCAGTCTCTCTTCTTCCTTTTCAAAAGTAAGAACTTTTGCTTTTTTGCTCTTGAGTGTTTCATCTCCCTCTCCTACTTCCATCTCTGTGCATTCCTTCTCTGCCCTTTTCTGTGGTGTTATTTGTGTTTTTACTTGGAATCTTGGCACAGTCTGTTCCTGCCTTCTCCAAACCCTGTTCATGCTTCTTTTTGGTGGCCAGGTGTTGTTTGTACCTAGTACAAATTGTTGCAGTGCCCCACCCTGACCTATTTTTGCTGGTTTAGGACCATAAGTTGTTCCCTCTATTCCTTGCTTCTGCATTTTCCTTTCGATGTCAGTTGTTTGTTGGAAATTTTCTTGAGGGGTTGTTGGTGTCCCCGAGCTCTCTTTTAGGACCAGCGAAGAGTGCATTTTCTTCTGTGTTTCATCTTTGCCAGGCTCTCCTTTCACTCTGTTTTCTGGTTCCTTTTCTTTTGGCATTATCTGTGTAGCCTTTGTAACAGCTTCAGGTTCTGCCATCTCTTCGGATGGTGCTCTTTCACCACAAGAATTAGAACTGACACTTTCCATGTCAAACTTTTTTCTCAGGGATGCCCATAGTTCAGCATCCTCCCTCTTTGATGAGTGTGACAGCCAGTTTCGAGGTCCAGGGGGACTCGTTCGGAGAAAATTGTTTTCTTTACACACACTACATAGTTAAAAAAAAATTGCTCTATAATTTAGTTACTATGTGCAACAAACAAACAAATTAGTAACAATATATTTATGAAACAAGTTGAATAGTGATGAAAATCCTCTTGGAATTACAGTCACCTCATGACACCTGTTCCATTTAATTATCAACTAATCCAAAAAAATTAGCCAATTTACCTTGATCATTCCTAACTAATTTCCCTGTTCGCAGGATACTTGCTCAAGAATGGGTGATTCAACTAGTGCATACGTACCGCGAAGGAAATAGAGCCGCAAACTTGTTCTCGAAACACAATCTCGTATATTTTTTTGGTGTGTATGAACTAGACGAACCCCACAAGAGTTGTATCAGTTAATCAGGGAAGATGTGATAGGAGCTAAGTTTCCCTCCAGGGGCGGAGCTACAATGGTCTTAGGGTGGGCCCCGGCTCACCCGGGAATGGTCTCGGCCCCTAGGGCTTTAAGGATATTTAGTAAAATTATAAGTATACCTGGTCCAGTACAATAATAAGGTAATGGTCATGTAATCTAATGGTAGTCAAGCTTTACTTTTATCCTAAAGGACATTGGTTCAATTCCCAGCCATTACATATTGTTCTTTATGCTTTACGCACTTCAAGACTTCATTATTTTAGTTCCCATCTATAATTCGTGAAGGATAAAGGACATTGGTTCAATTCCCAGCTATTACATATTGTTCTTTTTGCTTTACACACTTCAAGACTTCATTATTTTAGTTCCCATCTATAATTCGTGAAACCGAACGGTAGAAGCTATTGTCTATTTTTAATCTATGTAAGGAATAAATAAAAATAAGACTGTCAATGAAATTCAATCTTGTTGATAGGTGGATTTGTTTCTTTTAACTCTTCTAGTTTTCACTGCTACAGGTGAACATGCATTTTTCGGTTATGAATAGTGAAGAATAAACTACGAAATAAAATGAATGAGGAGTTTTGCTGATAGTTTAGCTATTTATATTGGAATAAATATAACTAAAATTTTTAGTTTACATACTATTTTGAGTGATTCATCGGGTTAATTCCCAAAATATAGTCTTTTTTTTTCATTTACCACGAATATAGTGGTTTAAAAACTAATTACAGGAATATTGTGTTTTGAAGGGAGGAAGGCAGCGACGGCGCCCGAGACTCATAAAATTGGGTTTTGAAGGGAGAAAGAGGCGACGGCGCCCGAGTCTAAGGCGTTGGCGCTATTTGAAATTTTCAAAAATTTCAAATAGCGCCAACGCCTTAGACTCGGGCGCCGTCGCTATAAAAATTTATTTCTTATCCCCTTCTTCGCCACTCCCCCTCGCCAGAACCACACACAGACTTGCCTCCCTCACACCTCACCTCTGCCTCCCTCACCTCACCTCCCAGACAGCGACGACGCTAGAAAGAGAGCGGCGACACCGAGAAGAAGAAGGCATTGCCTCAGTCTCAGGCGGTCGCGCTCAATTCCCGACGAAGGCGCCTAAACAAGAGCGTCGTCGCAGCAGATCTGCTTATTCCGCCATGTACGACGACGAGCAGCAGGCGCCCAGCAGAGGAAGGGGCCGAGGGCGGCGAGGGCATCGCGGCGGCGGCGGCGAACGCTACAGGAGTAAGTTGACGGTGGCCGGGTTCTCGCCGGCGGCGGCAAATTTTTTTATGTTCTAATTTTTTTTCAGTTCCTAGACTTATCGATCCTTGTTCGATGAGACCACCACCTGCGACAATCGATACTGCTCCGGTGGATCCGGAACTTCTTTGGGGGCATGGTCACCATCGTATTGACGCAGTTTGGGCAAATGAGGTAAGTTTTTTTCAAACTATTTCTATAGTTTTTTATTAGCCGAATAATATATTAGAATAGAATAGAATAGAATAGAATAGAATAGAATAGAATTAAATTAAATTACGAATAGAATTAAATTAAATTAGGAATAGAATTAGATTAAATTACGAGTATATTAGAATAAGTTTAGTTTAGATATATAAATAAAAATATTAGGTGAATTGAAGGAATTGAATTAATATAGTTTTGTGCATTAATTATAGGCTGGTGATCGATCTTACCACATTCGTCATATGGGCAATTTAGTTCGATACCATCCACTTTACCTGCCGTATCTCGCCAATGCCGGCTTGTCTAGTGTTCTGCCACTAGCCCTTCTTACCGGTGATCCGTGTTTGATTACTGCGCTCGTAGAGCATTGGCGACCCGAGACATCGACCTTCCACATGTCGTTCGGTGAGGTGACGATCACCCTAGAGGACGTTGCGACACTGACCGGTCTAGCGATCGATGGTGATGCCGTCGTAGTAGACATACCATACGAGGACTGGTCGGCTATGTGTCTTCGAGTGTTAGGACGGGCTCCTACTGATCTTGGTGGTGGCGTCATCCGGATTGCTTGGCTCAGGGAGACTTTCGATGAGCTACCGTTTTCTGCATCACCCCAGACGATAGAGAAAGTTTGCAAGAGCGTATGCGCTGTCTCTGATGGGAGGTGTCTTGTTCTCCGATCGGTCTGGAGGTTCAGTTCACCTGCAGTACCTACTTTTTGTGGAGGATTGGCGCAGAGCGGGGAGGTTTGCTTGGGGAGCAGCTATGCTATCCTACTTGTACAGTGGAGGATCGGTTTGCAGAGATGGGTAGATCGGCGCTGCAGATGACGACATCTTCTTCACTGGGTGGTGACTTTGGTGGATGGTTCGCCTTGCTAATGATCTGGACGTGGGAGCGGTTTCCTCATACATCACCACTACATGCGGAGACGGGTGCGCAGATTACTCAGGACGCAGTGCCACGTGGCCTTCGGTGGCTTCCGGCCCACACCCGTCAGCATGGAGATCAGTTCTACCTGTACAAGTTGTGGTTTGACGAGTGCACGACATTCGTGGTTAGTATATAACATTTCGTTTTATAGAATAATTTGAATTGATTTGTTATAGATTTAGGAGTAATTATGTGACCAATCCTTGTGTGCAGTGGCGTCCGTACTTTCATAGAGGTCAGGACTACAGCGGCACTGTGATCCAGTCCGACACGTTTCGAGCAGTAGTTCCGCTGATCTGCTTCTCATCGCAGATGTGGCATCATCCAGATCGCGTGCTCGGACACTTTGGGATGATTCAGGACCGGCCTCATCCTCCACATTCTGCGGCTGAGATTAGGTTTTTTCTTCGTCAGGGACAGCATGGGCCATCACGTGGCCAGCAATTCATACAGGCAGCCAACGAGTCGATTGAGTAGCACTCCTTTATACTTCCTAGTAAGAAATGCTCCATCAACAACCATGGCGCCTGGACAATTCTTGAATCCATTTATACAAGGTCCATAAGCCCAAAATACTCGCTGAAATATCGAATGACCTGGTTGAGTCGAAAGAACTCTTACCCAATCAATCACCGATGTTGGCATTTTTCTCTTGACCACCCGCATGAATGTTTGAAAAAAATCATAGGATTCTTCCCAATTTCCATGCAACTTCTCTAATGCTCTTTGTTTCCCATACCAAGCCTTCTTGTCAGTAACTTGCATATTAAACTTATCTTTCAAATCGGCCTGCACAGTTAGAACACTCAAATTTGGTTGAGCACGTACCAAGTGTTTCACGGACTCAGATATAACGTCGACATCAAGATGGCGATGATCCGTCAGTTGAGTCGTACTGCTACAAGTATGCACCAACTCGACCTTTCTCACGCTCCAATCGCCTCCCACATCTCGACATCCAAACCGCACCATCCAAGGACATTTGTCCTTCTTGTGCATCAAAAATCTGATCTTCCAGATTTAAGGTGACGACTCCACCACGTTATACTGAAAGTTGCGTTGTAGTGCATAGTGTTTAATCGCCACCTGTGCAGTTTGTTTCGAGTGAAATATTTGCCCCTTGTAGAATTCTCCATCAAAACCACCAACAATAGACCCTGGAATTACGCCATATGAATCAGCATATGATAATTCCTCATCCTCTTCATTACCCTGCAAGTAAAAATATGGAGGATAATTAGGTTGTTCTCCTCCCTCCCCGTCGTCGTCGTCGTCCTCATCATCATCATCGTCTTCCTCCTCTCCGTCATCACCGTCATCATAGTCATGATCGGATGGCATGCTCCATGTGTCATCTTCTTCCTTTCCACCCTGATCCTCACTGAGCTCAGCATGTATCTCAGCACCCAAACAATAAGGATTTTGTGCCATAAAATTCCAAAGCACATTTAAGCTATCATCATCGACAATAGGCATTGCATAATGAAATAAAACACCATTTTGCCATTCTGGAAGACAGTAGGTGAAACCTGTAATCACAACATTATCTTGTACTGTTTCGTCTCTAATCTGCATTCTCCGAATGAGATGATCACAAAGTTTCTGATAGTTCACCCTAGATGGAATAGTCATCTGAAAACTTACACCACCAACAAAATGGACACCCAAATTGTCCTCTACTTTCTCTGATCGCCACCGAACAGCTAGTTCAAATCTTATAAAACCACTACATAAAAAACAAGCTCACTAATTACTAACTGGGCAAAATCATTATGATGAATACATGAAAAAAATAAATACGACTCTTACATATTATTAGCCATCTTCCCAGCAACCAGACAGCAACACCAGAGCTTCTTTCGGAACTTCTTTCAGTTTTTTGGTGATGAAGAACCGAAGGAAATGTGCAGTATATATGGTAATGAGTGGTGCTGGAGTGGAAAAAAATGGCAGCGACAAAGCCCCAGTCTGGGCGCCGCCACTTTCACAATTTTTAAAGGCCAAAAGCCCCAGTCTCGGGCGCCGCCGCTGTGTTTTCTTGTTATAACAGCACCTAGCGGCCGCGCTGAGTCTAAGACTTTAGCGCCTTAAACATATAAAAAAACACAATATTCTTGTAAATAGTTTTTAAACCACTATATTCGTGGTAAATTAAAAAAACAATATTTAGGGAATTTACCCTGATTCATCATAATTATTTTTTATTTAGATTTAATTTTTTAAGACCCACTCGATCTCGAAATTCTAGCTCCGCCCCTGCTTCCGTCGACAAGTTCTTGAAGGAAGCTTGAGTTATTTACTTATTTCTTTTTGTTTGCTAGTATGACCTTCCTTGTAATCCTTTAGGCTGATTCGTTCCTCCTCTTAATAAAAATAAAAAAACTAATTTCCCTGTTAACGACAAATGCAAATGATGGTTCGGTTACTAGAGGTAAATAATTGTTGTCCTCTTTGAGTGCAAATCTTTATAAAATAAAAATACTATAACAATCAATAAACAAATAACTATCAAGATATTAACACGTGTGTTTATAAATCATAAGTTACATGCCAAAAATTATATACCACCTGACCAAAGGGTATGTTTGAAGCTAATAAAACAATTATAGTTCTTAGAGGGGAATAACAATTCATTTAGAGACATACAACATATTAGTCATATATAAAACATTCTAGAGACAAATAATAACTTTCTAGAAGCAAACAACATATTAGTCGTGTATAAGACATTTTTAAACACAAATATTCTAATGTGCCACAAAGGTTAGCCACTAAAACATGATTTTCTTGTTATAGAACACATAAATTAGTTTCTTTTTTCTAGTAACACACATAAAATTATACCCAAGTTATCGTAGGGAGTTCCTTTTTTCTAGTAACACACATAAAATTATACCCAAGTTATCGTAGGGAGTCCCTACTAATTTATGTGTTCTATCACAAGATAATAACTTTCTAATAACACTTCCGTGATGACCTTTTATTAGCGGAAACAGTTAATTTATCTTGTTCTATCACAAGATAATAACTTCCGTAACACTTCCTGTTTCTTTTTGTTAGCGGGAACATTTGTTTCCTTTTTCTATAATCTTTTTTCTGTCATAACTTTCCTTTTCCTATTTTATGTGTCTTGTTTTTCTTTTTCTTTTTTATTATTTATTTATTGTAATTAATACCCATTACGTAAATGTTACGAAATATAGTTATTTCTTACGTAACAGTTAAATTAGAAGAATTACGTAAGGCTTGTGTAATGACTTAGCACTTTACGTAACACGAGGTACGGTTAATACTCATTACGTAAAGCGACCTTCCATTACGGAAGGTTTCCGTAATGACATTTTACAACTGTTACGTAAAATACACAACCATTACGTAAAGTTTACGAAACGATAGTTAATTCTTACGTAATAGTTAAATCACAAGCATTACGTAAGGCTTCCGTAATGACTTAGCACTTTACGTAATACGAGGTTAATACTCATTACATAAAAAGACCCTCCATTACGTAAAGATTACGGAACATAGTTATTTCTTACGTAATAGTCAAATCGGAAGCATTACGTAAGGCTTCCGTAATCACTTTACACTTTACGTAATGCAATGTTGGTATTCATTACGTAAAACAACCGTCCATTACGTAAGACTTCCGTAATAACGTTTTACAACTGTTATGTAAGGTTACCATACATTACATAACCATTACATAATGTTTATTGTATTTTACGTAATGCGACCTGTGATTAGTAACACACTTCAAGTTAAAATCCCTAAACTAGTAACACACTTCAATTATGAAACAAGTTGAATGGCGACAAAAATCTTCTCGGAATTACAGTCATTTCATGACACCTATTCCAATTAATTATCTACTAATCCGATAAATCAGCCAACTAACTTCGATAATCCCTAACTAATTTCCCTGTTAATGACAAATGCAAATGAATGATGACTTTGCTTTCCAGGGGGAGGAACAGGCGAATGTTGTGGACCAGGAAGGGGTTAAGGGTCAAGTTGCTCATTCTAATCCGCTGGCAGAGAATGGAGCAAAGAATGCGAATGAAGTTGTGGAGAATTCCCAAAGGGAAACTGACCGCCCTCTGGTCCGAGCAAAGTTGATTAATGCTGGACCCGTGGATATTAAGCCGGGGACGGGTGTTAAAGGCCGCAAGAAGACAGGCACCAAGGCGAGAGATACCATGGCCGCATTACCTGCTGCTGATTTAAAGATGGGCCGGAAGGAAACCTTGGCCGCATTACCTGCTGCTGATTTAAAGATGGGCCGTAAGGAAAGGAACAAGGAAGAGCGGCCCAATGCAGGTGAGAAAATGGACGAGATTGATACTGGTGGGCCGGGTCTAGAGGGGACGCAATCCCCCTAAGTCCAACTCTGAGGACGATGGAGGCCGATTTGAAGTTCGGAAGCGGGCCTCTAGCTCTATGTAGGCTGCGCAGGGCCATGTCCATAAGGTGGTGGCGGCGTTTGAGAGCGGGCTCGTGATTGGAAATGGTGAAAATGATAATGGGGTGGACCGGAGCCAAGAGGAAAAGGATTTGCCTAATACTACTGTGTATCAGTACGGGTCGAACCTTCTAGATCCGAGGATTGGTAACCGGAAGAGATCGTTAGAGACAATGGTGGAGGGAATGGGGGACGTCCCGTCGCCCAAGAGGCAGTTTGTGGAGGACCTGGGTAATGATGAAAAGGTGGAGGTAGCCAGCCTTGAATGGCCCCACCCTGATAAATGAGGCTTCTGGCCTGGAATGTGAGAGGAATTGGGCCATCCCTCACATTCCAAACTGCTGTCGGTTTAGTTCATTCCAATAAACCGGATCTTGTGTTTTTTTCGGAAACACGATCGAGACGGAGAGTAGTTTCCCGCCGTATGCGTGGATTAGGTTTTGATTCTTCTTGTTGCTTTTTTGTTGATGCGATTGACGCATCTGGTGGTTTAGTTGTGGCTTGGTCCCCCGAAGTTGATGCTTCGGTGTTTTTTCATTCCAATTTCTGTATTTGTGTTCAAGTTAATGAAAGGGATTTTTCTTATGTGGTGGTGTATGTTTACATTAGTTGCAACATTATGATTAGAGCCAACCAACTGGGTCAGCTCCAGGAGATTTGTGAGGGCCTTCAAGTTCCCTATGTTATCATAGGTTATTTTAATACGACTTTACATGAGAGTGAAAAGGATGGGGGGAACCCGTGGTCTGCGACGCAATCTCTTAGTTTGCGAAATCTTATTCAAAACCTGGGCCTCTTGGATCCGGGCTATCAAGGAGATCAGTTTACTTGGACGAACAAACGGATGGGGGCGGCGTGTATCCGGGAATGTTTGGATAGAGCGCTGTGCTCCCAGTCCTGGATTGATTGCTTCCCTGATACCTTGGTGAA